TCTGCATTTGCTTGTCTGTAAAGGATTTTATTTCTCCTTAACTTATGAAGCTTAGTTTGGCTGCATATGAAATTCTGGGTTGAATATTCTTTTCTTAAGAATGTTAAATATCGACCCCCACTCTCTTCTGGCTTGTAGAGTTTCTGCCAAGAGAACCACTGTTAGTCTGAAGGGCTTCCCTTTGTGGGTAACTCGACCTTTCTCTCTGGCTGCCCTTAACATTTTTTCCTTCATTTCTGCCTTGGTGAATCTAACAATTATGTGTCTTGGGTTTGCTCTTCTTGAGGAGTATCTTTGTGGCATTCTCTGTGTTTCCTGAATTTGAATATTGGCCTGCCTTGCTAGGTTGGGGAAGTTCTCCTGGATAATATCCTGAAGAGTGTTTTCTAACTTGGTTCTGTTCTCCCTGTCACTTTCTGGTACACCAATAAAATGTAGATTTGGTCTTTTCACATAGTCCCATGTTTCTTGGAGGCCTTGTTCATTTCTTTGCAGTCATTTTTTTTTAATCTTGTCTTCTCACTTTATTTCATTAATATGATCTTCAATCACTGATATCCTTTTTTTCCGCTTGATCAAATTGGCTGTTGAAGCTTGTGCATGCTTCATGAAGTCATTGTACTGTGGTTTTCAGCTCCATCAGGTCATTTAAGCTCTTCTCTACACTGGTTATTCTAGTTATCCATTCGTCTAACCTTTTTTCAAGGTTTTTAGATTCCTTGCCATGGGTTAGAACATGCTCCTTTAGCTCAGAGAAGATTGTTATTACTGACTTTCTTAAGCCTACTTCTGTCAACTCATCAAACTCGTTCTCCATCCTGTTTTGTTCCCTTGCTGGCGAGGAGTTGTGTTCCTTTGGAGAAGAGGGGCTCTGAATTTTGGAATTTTCAGCCTTTTTGCTCTGGTTTCTACTCATCTTTGTGGTTTTATCTACCTTTGGTCTTTGATGTTGGTAACCTAAGGATCGGGTTTTTGTGTGGATGCCCTTTCTGTTGATATTGATGCTATTCATTTCTTTTTGTTAGTTTTCCTTCGAATAGACAGGTCCCTAAGTTGCAGGTCTGTTGGAGTTTGCTGGAGGTCTACTCCAGACCCTGGGTATCACCAGTGGAGACTGAAGAACAGCAAATATTGCTGCCTGATCCTTCCTCTGGAAGCTTTGTCCCAGAGGGGCACCTGCCTGTATGAGGTGTCTATCAGCTCCTGCTGGGAGGTGTCTCCCAGTCATGCTACACGGGATCAGGGACCCACTTGAGGAGGCAGTCTGTCTGTTATTGGAGCTCAAATGCCCTGCTGGGAGAACTGCTGCTCTCTTCAGAGCTGTCAGGCAGGGACTTTAAGTCTGGAGAAACTGTCTGCTGCCTTTTGTTCAGATATGCCCTGCCCCCAGAGGTGGAATCTAGAGAGGCAGTAGGCCTTGCTGAGCTGTGGTTGGCTCCAACCAGTTCAAGCTTCCCTGCTGTTATGTTTACACTGTCAGCATGGAACCACCTCCTCAAGCCTCAGCATTGGCAGACGCCCCTCCCTTCACCAAGCTCCTGTGTCCCAGGTTGATCTCAGACTGCTGCGTTAGCAGCAGCAAGGCTCCGTGAGCATGCAACCTGCTGAGTCACGCGTGGGAGGGGATCTCCTGGTCTGCCCATTGTGCAGACAGTGGGAAAAGCGCAGTATTTGGGCAGGAGTGTACCGCTCCTCCAGGTACAGTCACTCAAGGCTTCCCTTGGCTAGGAAAGGGAAATCCCCGACCCCTTGTACTTTCTGGGTGAGGTGATGCCCCGCCCTGCTTTGGCTTGCCCTTTGTGGGCTGCACCCACTGTCCAACCAGTCCCAATGAGATGAACCATGTACCTCAGTTGGAAATGCAGATATCACCCATCTTCTGCATCAATTTTTCTGGGAGCTGTAGACTGGAGCTGTCCCTATTCAGCCATCCTGGAAGAAAATCTCCAACTACATTTTTAAAGTAATGTGCTTTGTATCATGAATTTCAACTCAGTGAAGACACCTGTGGCCTTCAAGGAAGAATGTAAAATGACTTTTTTTCTCAAGGTGTGGACAAAACCCAGAAAGGCCAAAAAGTTTTTGGAATCATTTTTGTGAAGTATTAGTAATAAAAAAGAAAATTGTATCTTGTTCAAATTTATTTAGTGCCCACACCTGGAATGCTGGGTACATTTGTGATGATTGTCATTTGCTAAAGACAGCAGAGCTGGTGAAAGTTTGGAAAGGGCATGATGGGTGATTACTGGTCTAGATGGGTGAATACATGAGCATACACTAAAAAGATGAGGACTTTTCAGCCTAGTACACTAACTTGGGAAGGATAGGTAGTATAGTAGTGAAGAATATGGCTTTTTCTGTCAGAGAGACCCAAATATGAATCCTGGCTCTACAACCTATTAGCTAGTGACCTTGGACATGTTACTTAAACTCTGTGAGTTTACTTATTTTCACCTGTAAAATGAGAATATTGATAGTGCATTTCTCATGAGGCTATTGTGCACATAATTCCACCACTCTTATACTTGGGATATAATAAATGCTCAGTAACTTATTATTTCAAGACTCTAAAACCATGTATAAGGTGACAGCATCAACACAGACTCCTTCATATCCTGGAATAATTGAATGGAATGAGGGATGCCTTTACATTATACATAGGTGAAGTTAATGCATGTAAAGGGAAGTCTGATTTAAATGGCAGGTATTAAACATGTGGTCTTCATTGCTCCATGAGATGTTACAGGCTGAAAACAAGTAGACTTAATAAAAAACTCATGGACAATATAATTATCATAGGCAATTAAGGGAAACATGATGTTTGATAGTTGTTCCCAAACTCACGGTTAATGTCAAAGAGAACAAGGCTATCTTCTCATAAATTCTCATCAGAGTCAGATTGTTAGACCGGATATTCCCTGAGGTTGACACCATGAAGGGAGTTCTCAAATTTAAATGGCTAACTGCTATCTGAATTAACCAAACTCTTATTTTAATATAGATTTTCCAATGACCATGGCAGATAATAATAATCAGAAGACGTTGAAATTGTCTGCTGGCATTCCTGCAGCTACTATAAACATCATTTTTCAAAAAGACTCAATGGCTTCGTATGAAGAGCTACTGAAATATAAAGCCTTTATGTTAGTCAGAAACCTTTGTTAAAATACTAACTCAACAAGCAAGAGCCTACCCAATCAGATAATGTAGATTCAGTGTATTTTTAGAGGTGTCAAGGAATTTTCCCCACCTCATTAGAAACACAAATGAAATTACAAATTCCTAGAAGGCATTGATTTATTTCATGCTTCCTTTATAGGCTGTTGTTTAGAACAAGAGTTTCAATCAGTGGCTATGTGAATACCAGTTACTCAAGTAGCCTCTCTTCATGAAGTGGTTATAGGATGTGTAATTGAGCAAGTTATGGTAATCAGGAAGGGTGTGAACTAGAGAGTTTCCCTCTTCTATCAGAGATCACAATGCTCTGGCATCAAAAAGATACGCTTTCAAATTCTAGTTCAACCACTTACTGCTTGATGAATTTGGGAAGGTTGCCTAACTATTCTAAACCTTAGTTTCATCATCTTTAGATTGAATTTATAACACCTATCTCATAAAGGTGTGGTGAGCATTAAATATCAGAAATGGATATTCCATCTTTCAGTGATGTGGTATTTAAATAGGCATTATTAATAAAGCTTTCAGCACAGTGCCTGGCATAAAGTAGGCATTCACTAACTATTAGTTCCCTTTCCCTAGATGTCCCCAACCCACATTTCATGTCTAAAGGGATGAGTGTTCTATGTATAGGGAAGACTAAAATTCTACATAGTCTTTCACTGGGTTACCGTGAAGCAAATGTGGTTTTTGGAATACAGTCACAACTGACTTATTACTGAGTTGGTTAGATAAGAGAACCAGGGCCATCTAGAGTAAATACTAGAAATCAATGAGCAGGAAGCAAGTCCAAACAGACCTAAGAATCACAGCCAATACCAGGAAGTTATACCAATAGGCATGAATGCTCAAAACCATAGTGGCTGTAAATGATGGGACAGTGTGGTCTGGGTACTAAGACAAGTTGACCAAGATAGTTCTCCTGACTCTACTAAATGGTGTAACTCACTTCTGGGACTCTTGTTTTTGAAATGTGGTCAGTGACTCTTGCCACAAGATGACATTGAAGATCCATGACACTAAATTCCCTTGAAGGTTTTTCTATTTGCTTGGCCAAATGAAGTTTGGACCATCATAGGGAGGGAATGAAATGGCCACCAATGTGACAGGGCTTTACAGATATGAAACAAGCACCCAGAGCCCTTTTAAGGGCATGAGATGTTAGATTTTGCCTAGATGGTGGTAGAAATTCTGTATATCCTAAATTATTTATTTTGCTTCAGAGATGACTATTGTGGTCATAGGCAAGAAGGTGTGAAAATCATCATTCTAGAGATTATCTTCTAGAATTAAAAAAAAAGGTGATGTTTATTGTGTCATCCTGGATAAAAGTAAGGAAAGTGACAGTATGGGTCTTGTGCATTGTCATATGGACAGAATGGAGGTGATGAGAATGAGGCCAATCATACACTTCTCCCTCTCTAACGATGCATTTCAGTGGCTCATGTCTACTGCCATGTGTTCAGTTTCCTCCATGACAGATAATTCTGACAGGTAGACTGAAATCTGAAATATTGTAAAAGGCAATTGCTTATGGCAGGTACCATGCTTCTGGATGTAAGTGAAGGTAAATGCAGAAAGTGAAAACTGTAGGTATTAAGAAATTTTATTACAGCTGTAGACAAATGAGGGAGATAAGGGAAGCTGGCTGACTGTTGAGGCAAAGTTCGCAGGGAGGCCAATGTTCAGTGGACTCAATATGATTCACACTATGGTGCTGACTTTGCAGAGTGAGAATCTTATTTTCTTCAGTGTACTCAGAGGAGATTAGAATCAGGAGGATTGGTACTATTTAAACCCACAAAAACTGACGTACAAGCCAAACACCAATTTATTCAATTATAATGAGAATTAACTCAGAAATAGGTTAGAACACTCGTGTCAGCTGGTTAGCAAATTTTCTCTCCCTAACAAAGTTTATAAGGGAAACTAATTACAATCAAATTACTTTGAGAGCATGGGATTAGAGCAATGGAGTTAGGTGACCATCTTAATGGCTGACACAAATTGGAATGGCCATTGCAGGGGTGGACATGCCAAACAGTCTGCTGGTCAACAACTCATCTCTGAATTTAGGGGGATTACCAACGTTCTGTTTAACTTCTTGCTTTTCTGTGCTCCATGAATACTATTCTCTTGTTAACAAATTCTTCTTCAGACTTACCATTAAATGATTAGATTATATCTTGCTAGGTGGCATCAATATATAGCAGACCTGCTTCCTTAAAAAACAACCTTGTTTGGATCTGGTGGTTCCCCAAGCCTTTGCAGTTGCTGACTCCGTCTTTGAGTAGGTTATATCTCATCTGTTCTCTGTAGATTCTAAGTAGTTTCACTCTCAGAGGAATTCACATAGCTATTATTTCTTAGGACACACCCTTGTAATCCTCTTTATGTTAAATCATAAGTTATCCTAGTTGAAGTGAATGGCATATAATGGATGGTGTCATTATAACAAAAATTTTGAATTGGTAAAATGGTTGCTAGCTAGTAGGCAGTAAAGCATTATTCCAGCATCCCATTCATATCCTCAGTCTGGCTGTTGGATTGTACTTCACAGCGTACAAAAGGTCTTTAATTTGGAGCACCTCAACAAGGGACACCCAGAAGTAGAGGGCGAACTGAAGTTCATAGCCCTGGATTGGTTATGTTTTCTGAGAGCCTATGAAGTCTGAAGATTTCTAAGGAAAGAAGGTAACATTGCTACAAAGAGAAAATCCAAATAGGAAATAAAATGATGTATCTTTGGGAAAGAACCCAAAATGATGAATCCTGGCCCTAAAATAAGGAAAGGTTGTTGATTAAGCCAACTGAATGCCCCTATCAGCATTCCAAGACTATACTGGGTTTGGTAAGGAAAGTGACTAGAGGCTATGAGGTTGGTCCTTTATTATAGAATTGATGGAGGTAGAACAAGATACTTCCAGGTAATTTCAGAGTCACTCTAAGTTCAATAGCTCTACTTGTTAGAAGATCTCATACAATCCCAGTACTATAGTCGGAATTTCTTAGTATAACTGGAATATGTTCACTCAGGTCTCTGTTGTGGGAGCGTATAATGTGGTTGTACAGCGAGCCATTGTTAAAGGAAACCCTTCGTGAATGCAAATAAGAATTGGTATAGTGGCTAGCAAGGCACAAGGTGAAAATATCTGTTTGTTGGTACTACGGAATCAGAGTAGTAAGGTCCTAGCTGGGTTTAAGTATTGTCAAAGTCAGCATAATTCTCCAGAAACAAAGCCAAAGTACAATGGCATTTCATGTTCTGAGAGGCCTTGATGGTTGCTAGGGAATATGTGATTACTGATATTTCTCCAGGATATACATTTTGGGGACATACATCAGCAACAAGAAGCAGGGAACAGAGGGCTGGTAATTACCAGCAAACAGTGATCATCGCTGAATAGTTTTAACATTTTAGGGAGTTGTGCCTTTCTAGCATAACACTACTTTTGTTCAGAAGCATCAAGAATCTATACACAAAGCTGTTGTGTACCAAGAATGAAACATAAGCAATGAAACCCTGATTTCCTGAGTTTCATGCACAGATGGTTTTAATGTATGTGCCCCAGGATTTTTCAGATGAGATAGCGCAGGAAGTTGTTTGCCATTCATTGTTTTTTAAGATCCTCAATTAGATGAAGGACCTCAGAGGTGGTCCATAAAGGTAGAGCTCAATGGCAATGAGTAGTAACCCTAGATGGTGACTATATTGAGGCTTCTAGAGTCAGAAACTACTGCAGGGTGTGGCTGTCAGTCTTCAGTGGAGATTTATTTGGCCGGGTCCCTTGTCCAAGGCAGCAAGGACATGCTACAGACACAGTAATTATGAGACATCGTTCCCAACTCTCACTAAATACCTTTTGGAAATCCTTATCCTAGAGCATATTGACTTGGCTATAAGACATGCTGGAACCTCAAGTTGTTGGAGAAGAGAAGAGTAAGCTGGAATTGGTGGGCTTGGCTAAAAGAATATACCTGCCTGATGGGCTAGTTTGCAAAGAAAGGGACCAACAATTCCAAGCAGTGTTGAAATGCTCATTCAATCTGGTTTGTAAATAGCCAGGAGATTCTGTTTGTTGGGAAAGCATGAGTCTTTAGATGGAAACAAAATGCATAGCTTTATGGGAGGGTGGCAAAGCTGAGGTTCCAGGAAGGTTGATTTATGCTGAAGGTAGATTCTAGTCCATAGGTGAAACATGGTCCAAGCTCTAGGAAGAGAATATTAGCAGAATAATGGAATGTCATTTGGACTTCAGTCAAAGGTCCTAAGCCAATAGGAAACTAAGATACAGACCAATAAAGGTGAAGGTAAAAGTCTTGAGCTCATTTCTAGGCACATGAGATTCAGGATTTTGGCCACAAACTCAACCCAGATGTCACCCATTGGTCAGGATAAGGTTCCCAATGTGCTTCCAGAGTTATTTTCATTGGCTTAGACTGGGCAAAGTTTTGCCTGCAGGTTTTTGGTACTCTTGGAGAATTAATCTCGACTGCAGAAAGTGCCTGTGAATTGTTTTCATCATTCTTGGGTTAGGTTTGGTGAGGGGTAATTTCCCAATGAACAAGATCTGATTGTTTAAATTCCCCAAAGCGTGTCAGTTCATAACTGCCTCTAAAGTGGTGTCACAGTTCCCCATCCATATTTTAAAAGTTAATGCAGGATATAAATCGGTACGGCTGGGAGTGAGAGGGATATAAGTTTAAAAAGTGACTTTCCTGGTCTCCTCTTACTGGTGAGCTGTGTTATTTGTCGTTGCTGGAGCTCGAGAACGTTTGGCAAGGCAATCTCTTGTGAAGTGACCAGATTGGCTGCAGTAGAGGCACAACTGAGTTTCTTGCTGGCGGGCTCGTTTGGCTGGGGTGAGAGGCAGCTGGCCTTCTCGCAGTTGTATAGGCCCTTTCTTGGGTGGTGGATCTGTGGGGCTAAAGAGGGCTTGGTGCTGGATCAAGGAAGCCAACAATGGGAGCTGGGTCTCTGACTGTAGGAGCTCTGGCCTGTCACTGTGTTTCTTGTCCAACTGAATGCACTGAGTGATCAGGTCTGGTAGATTGTCCATCATATCAGTGACACTCTCTTCATCCTGGTTGAGATCATCTACTGCCTTTTCGAACTGCCCATTCTGACTGGTTTCATTACAGATCAGATTTTGAGCAAGGAGCTGGAAAGTAGTAGGGTCCTGTTGAGAGGAGTTGTCCCCTTTGTCAAACTTAGCATTCATCAGAAGGTTCATTTCCTGTTTTGTGGGTTTACCAAATGACTGCTGGAACTCAAGAATACAATTCTCATATTGCTTCAGTAAGGTACTCTTGTCAGGCCCAGATATGATTCCACAACTTTCTAACTGCTGAGATAGGTAATCAAAAAAGAGTTTGATCTGGGCCTCATTTGCAGGATTAGAGATCTGGAGAGCTGTCAAGTAGGTAGTCACCTGAGTGAGGAACTCTGAGTGATTGGCAGGGTCACCATGAAACTGGGTGAGATGCTCGAGTGAGTTCAGTACAGGCATCACTGTGGTGGCCAGGGCAGGCATGACTTGGCCCCTTTTAGCAGTGTTCTCCGTGGTTGGATGCTGCATTTGAGGCCGCAGAATCAGATTCTCTCCCTGAAGAAAGGAAGGTTCTACCTGCAAGGTAGGTGGTGATTTTGTGCACTTCTCCATTATATCTCTTGGAATCAGGTGGGATTGAGTAGAATTGAGTACTAGTACTGGAAACCAGTGGAGACAGTGGATTTGCTCTGTGATCAGAGAGGGAGCGTCATGAGCAAGTAGCCAAAGTTGTTAGCTGTGAAGAAGACACTAGGAGATGCTAATAGCTGAATTGGAGAGATGCCAAAGAGTGTTGTCCGCCACTCAGTGTTGCCTCTTCTTCAAGGAAAAGGCCAATGTTCTGCATATTTGGAAGAAATAAATTACCTTAGAACACATAAAGGACTTGGGATTAAGAAGATATATACAACCATCACAGTACCTTTCTCTCCTCCCTCGTTTTCCTTGTAATATAAGGGCAATTTACCCTCTGACTTAACCTTTTCTCTAAAGCAAGTTTGGTCAACCTGTGGCTGGTGGGCCACATGCAGCCCAGGATGGCTTTGAATGCAGCCCAACACAAATTTGTAAACTTTCTTAAAACATTATGAGATTTTTTGTGATTTTTTTAAAAGCTCATCAGCTATCATTAGTGTTAGTGTATTTTATGTGTTGCCCAAGATAATTCTTCTTCTTCCAATGTGGCCCATAGGAGCCAAAAGATTGGACACCCCTGCTAAAGTATCTTTTTTCCATCAAAGAGTTAAAGAATTTGACAACCCAAAGTGATCTCAGGAGATTATCCAGGCCAAATTCATAATTTTTCAAATAAGAAAACAGAGACGCAGAGAGGTAAAGATGTTTTCCCAAGGTCACTCAGCTAGTTAATATCACAGCTGGCATGCTCATCAGGGCTATTGTCCAAATGGCACTTCCCCCAAGACGATAAATGTGCTCATTTGCATATACTGCTTGGACATGATGGTTCATGCACCTGGCTCCTCAAAATGTGATCTGGGAACAAGTGGCATTGGCACTACCAGAAAGGTTGTGAGAAATGCAGAATCTTGGGTCTCACCCCAGAACTACTAAATCATTTTTTCACACTTTAATAAAATTCCCAAGGTGACTAGAATGTGTGTTAAACTTTGAGAAATGCTGCTGTAAAGAGCACTTAGTTTGAATTGGAATAATCACTGGTTGGACTTGACCGTTAGTGCTCCAAGCCTAGCCTGCATTGCTGTGGGGGATATGATTGCTGTGATGGCAGTTAATCCATGTTTTCTATCTTTCTAGTCCCTGTCTGAGGTCACAATTTCTTGCCATGGAAATGATTAAGATAGCACAGGCAAGACTAAGAGGTAAGGTTAAGAACCTAGCAAACAAGAACTGAATATTCTTAAAAGTAAAAAGATCAAAATGTTCAGCAGTCTTTCCAGCATTGACAACAAAAATAAAGCAACCAGTAAAAGTTAAAAACAACCCCAAACATATGGCATAGCAGTTGAACTATTCTAAACTTCAATTCCTCTCATTGCCCTTTCCTTGTGTAGCATACTATTTAAATATATTTAAATTGTCCACGGGTGGGAAAAAATGATGTATCATTGAATCTTTTTAAATGTAAGACTTGATTTCCCTAAGTTTTATTTGATGGTTCATTTTCTCCAGACCTATGAAAAAATTACTGGAAGACAAATAGTATAAGATTGGAGGCCACAAACAGGAATCCAACCACTAGTATTAAACAGTTGGATGACCTTAAAGAACTCATTTAGGTCTCGGTTTCCTTTTTTACCTAATAAGGATTTTTGTTTTTTTGTTTTTGTTTTTTTTTTTTTTTTTGAGACGGAGTGTCACTCTTGTTCCTAGGCTGGAGTGCAGTGGTACCATCTCGGCTTACTGCAACCTCTGCCTCCTGGGTTCAAGCAATTCTCCTGCCTTAGCCTCCCGAGTAGCTGAGATTATGGGCACCTGCCACCACACCCGGCTAATTTTCGTATTTTTAGTAGAGACAGGGTTTCACCATGTTGGCCAGGCTGGTCTCGAACTCCTGCCCTCAGGTGATCCCCCTGCCTCAGCTTCACAAAGTGCTGGGATTACAGGCGTGAGCCACCGTGACCAGCCAGGATTACTATTTTGCTTACCTCAGAAGGTGGTTATATCAATGAGATAACAGATTGGTGCTCTGAGTGGCAAAAAATGAAAGATTTACTTCCAAAATTTTTCCAATGTAGATGAAAAATGCCCGGTGGAGAGGCTCTGCCTTTATCACATATTGCCAAAGTAGGGAGATGCTATCATACCCTCCTTTTTTTCTTCCTTTCCATATCTCACCCTTCTAATTTCCTGATCTGTCTTCCAGACATCTTCCACTTCCCAGATGTCCATCAATGAGTTCATTACTGCCATTCCAGCTAGGTGTCAACTGATAGCTAAGATGTTGTTAAATAAGGGTTAATGATTGGCCTTTCCAGGCCACGCACAGACGGTGGCTCATGCCTGTAATCCCAGAACTTTGGGAGGCCGAGGTGGGTGGATCACGAAGTCAGGAGATCGAGACCATCCTGGCCAATGTGGTGAAACCCTATCTCCACTAAAAAAAAAAAAAAAAAAAAATTAGCTGTGCGTGGTGGCACGTGCCTATAGTCCCAGCTACTTGGGAGTCTGGGGCAGGAGAATCGCTTGAACCCAGCAGACAGAGGTTGCAGTGAGCCAAGATCATACCACTGCATTCCAGCCTGGGTGACAGAGCGAGACTCTGTCTCAAAAACAAACAAACAAACAAACAAACAAAACAAAAAAGATCTTTCCCAGAGCAATTACAGTTCACTCAAACTTTAATGTCATAAGAATCAACTCAGACCCAGTCCCTAGCAATTCTGATTCAACAAGTCTGGGATGGATCCCAGGAAACTGTATTTTAACAAGCTGGCCAGTTGATTTCTGATGTAGGTGGCTCTTGTGCAAAGCACTGTCCAGATAAATCTCAAAGAATAAAGCATTATTAGCAGTATCACAAAGAAGTAGGTATGGGGAGGGGACATATTTGGAGGTAGAAGATTGACTTTCAAATAACATAGAATGGGTGGTACACTATTCTACCTCCACATCAAGCACACAAAGAGCCCACACTGTCCTTCACTACTGCTCATCTCTCCCACGTGGTAGAGTTCAACAGTTAAGGATGTCACTTCTAAACTCAAAGTGACTTGGTTTGATCTATGAGCTATGTGATTCTGAGCAAGTTATTTAGCCTCTTTGAGAATCAGTTTCCAAATTTAAAAATAGACATGATTATAATACCTGCCTCATAATGTTATGAAAAATAAATGAGATGAAGAGAGATTAGCATGGCTTCATGTATATAGCAAGTTCTCCACACATTTTTTTATTTTTGAGACAGTCTCACTCTATTGCCTAGGCTAAAGTGCAGTGGCATGTTCATAGCTCATTGCAGCCTTGAACTCCCAGGCTTAGGTAATCTTCCCACCTCAGCCTCCCTGGTAGCTAGGACTACAGGCACATACCACCTTGCCTGGCTAATTTTTTTTTTTTTTTAAAGATGAGTTTTCAACACTTTGCCCAAGCTGGTCTTGAACTCGTGGGCTCAAACAATCCACCTTCCAAAATCCACCCATTTCGGCCACCTAAAACGCTGGGATTACAGGCGTGAGTCACTGCACTCAGCATCCATAAATGTTAGCTATTATTATTATAGGTCCACAAGCTGTTATCTGACTATGTTTTGGAATTTAAATTTTTTCAGATTTTTAGAAAGGTAACATGGAGTATGTACTGCTTATTATATAATACCTTCAGCAATGTCTGGGAAACATCCCATCCCATAATTAAGCCATTAACATTCCTGTAGGAAAAAAAAATGTCTGAATAGTCATACTAAAAAGGATAAAGACTAAGTGCATGACAATTCAGGTCAAGTTTTGCTGTCAAATGAGTTTTGGCACCAAATTAATGGAAAAAAAAAATTGCTTCCATTTTACAGAGCTTTATGATTTCACAATTGAGGTAAGAGATTACACGAACATTTACATTATTATAACAATGTCCTTTGATTAGAAATGTGAGATTTTAAATTTTCTTTCCTTTCCTTGCCTTCTCTTTCCTCCACTCTCAGAAGTTCCAGAATCTCTGTTGAGTTCTGTTGCTTTACAGAATTATGTATTCAAGGTGGCACAGCATTCAATTTTCTTAATTATGTAGCACTGGTGAAGCACTTGCTAAGATTATGAGCATTAGCCCAAATGCAAATCATACAATGGCACTGTTGTCAGTGGCAATTGCTTAATTCCCCCCCCCAAAAAATCTACCTTGCCTCATCATTTTGGAAATTGTTCTCCTTTAAAGGTCAGTGTCCTTATATTGGATTGTCCCAGAGGATCCTAGGACAAAGCACGCCAGTTCAGAGGTGTTTCAGACCACAGCTTTGAACAGAAAAAGCAGAGACAGAGCCAAAACCTGAAATACACAGGCTTGAGGGATCAGACTTGTGAGCTCGGACAAAATCTAACACAAAACTGCATACATTTAAGATTTATTTAGTAGGTATGTGATTCAACTACAAAAACAAAAAATGGGTTTGGTAAATTATTAGAGGTCATTTTAGTGTTTGTATTTGGTCTGGCTCAAAGCCATAGTTAACAGTTTTCTCGAACATAAAACTACTTTACTCTGGAGTACCTTGAGATCCCATTTGGAGAAGAGTCAGCAGTACCCTGTTGCTTATAAGAGAGCTTTTTGACTTTACGCTGCTTTAATTTCAAACTGTTCTACATAATCCCTTGGAAGAGGAGCTTTGACCTAGGGTCATGCAACTACCCGGAGCAGTTGTATATTTTACTCTTGATCTCCAAACCTTCTGAGGAATGCTGTGGCCACAGAAGCTAAACTGAGACATAAATTGAGCTATCCAAAGATGCAGTTGGAGGATGGGGATGAGGATGGGGATGGGATGAGTCTCTCCATGAAGTAAGTTACCAGTTCTATATCACTGAGGAATAAGCAGAGCTAGGATTACCACCTGGTGGGGAGTTAGAGTAGCGGGCTCTCAAGAGGTGACCAGAAGGGCAAACTGTTTGGACTTGTGTGGAGACCTGTGTGTGAGCCTAGCTCTGCCACAATCCAGACCGATGGCCACATGGGCAAGTCACTTGCTTTCTCTGGGCTTGTTTCCTTACCTGTACAATGAAGGCATTGGGCTTCCCAAACTTTAGCACACATACAAAATTCTGATTCAAGAGGGTTAGCAGAAGACCCCAACATTGAATTTGTTACAGTCCCTTCAGATGGTATTGAAGTAAGAGGCCTTCAGATTTTACCTTGTGAATATCGGGTGACTGA